GCCCAAAACGTTTAGGAATAAGGGGCCAAAAATAAGCATTTTTCTAGTTTCAAGACAATAACTTGTGTTCAAGTGTATGGATCTATCTGAAATTGTATTGCAAGGTACCATACAACAAAGGGAAGGCTGGGATTGATTTTGGGGGTAATTGCTTCAAAATTTTAGGAATAAGGGGCAAAAAAAGGGGCAAAAAAACAAGCATTTTTCTAGTTTCAGGACAATAACTTGTGTGTAAGTGTATGGATCTTTATAAAATTGTACTTCAAGGTTCCATATCACCAAGGGAAAGCTGGGTGTGAGTTTGCAGGTAATTGCCCTAAACGTTTAGGATTTTGGGGCCAAAAAGGGGCCAACAAATAAGCATTTTTCTAGTTTCCAGACAATAACTTGTGTTTAAGTGTATGTGGATCTCTCTGAAATTGTACTGCAGGTACCATACCAAAAAGGGAAGGCTGGGATTGAGTTTGGGGTGATGAATCATAAGGGGGTTCAAACAATTTGGGAGGGGGGGATTTTTATTTCTTTAAAATTTTCCATTTTAAATTGGTTATTTCTGATTTATATATAAGAGCAAATAATAATGATATGGTTTGAATAGGTAAATTAAAAATTTTTAAGTTCTTAGACCACATTCATTCTGTGTCAGAAACCTGTGCTGTGTCAAATATTTAATCACAATCCAAATTCAGTGCTGTATCAAGCTTGAATGTTGTGTCCATACTTGCCCCAACTGTTCAGGGTTCGACCTCTGCGGTCGTATCAAGCTGCGCCCAGCGGAACATTTTATTAGTCTTCAATTACATTTTTTGTGCGTTAGTGCCAGTTGTCTTGTATAATAGATAGACAGAAATAAGATTTTTTAAAAGGCAGTGTCTGCGCGTACCCGCATGCGGGTACGAATAGTCAAATTGCCATTCATAGGCTACGCGTACCCACATCCGGTTTTATAATAAAATGCCATCGGATCGGGAATGAAACGTGAAATATATACGAAAATTATCGATAATATAGGGATTTCGTGTAGAACGAGTGAAGAGTATGAAAAATAATATTTTCTAATTGTATTTATTAGATAATGATACATGATAAACATTGCAAATTAAATGCACACTGGTGGAAAATGAAACTGTACAGTCCCTGTAATAGTAAAACATGGTAAAAATTCATACTATTATAAAATGTAAATGCAAATTTAAAGAATAAAATTTAACTGATTTTGAAAAATACCCATATGAGATTTAAAAATAACCTTTTAGTAAAATTTAGTAAAACTGAAATTTTAAAATATCTTATTAAAACGACTAAAATTAAAGCTTGGGTGTCTATATAAAAATTAAAGAAGCAAGTAATTATAATGTCAAATTAAACCAATTATAAAAGATTCATGAAACTAATTAAGATTTGGAACAAAATTTACATATCCAATATGATTGTTTTGGCACATATTTCAACCCTGCACATTTCAAATGTTGCCAGTCCAAACAACAATCACAGGCCAAAGAGTCCTGATCGTGTAGGTTTTTTTTTTACATTTGATACATATCCATTCGCATGATTCTCTTCTTTCGTCTTCCTCAAGTGTATATCACTCTCTTCCATTTTAAGAATATTTATTTACTGAGAAAAACTGTTCACTTACCTATATATGAATATTTATAAAATTCTAAGTAGTTTTAATCAATTTATTCACTAATTGCGACAAATTCCGTATATATTTCACGTTTCATTCCCAATCCGATGGCATTTTATTATAAAACCGGATGTGGGTACGCGTAGCCTATGAATGGCAATTTGACTATTCGTACCCGCATGCGGGTACGCGCAGACACTGCCTTTTTAAAATTCAACAACCTCAAAATGCTTTAAAGTGTTACAAAACCAGTGCCTTGCTTTTGGTGCATTTTTTAGTCTTGGACATAACATTTGTTTTGTTTGTGTCTGCGTCACTTATGCATAAAATGGAGATATATTATAGTTACATTACATTCAACTCTGATAAACTAAGTGCTTTCAATAGATTGCCATGCATCGTCTGTACCATATTTCTTTATTAACTTTACATTCACTAGTTTGTCAAGACATGAACTTGGAACCATTTCAGGACGGGTTTCTATGTGTTCCTTCTCAACCGCTGACGTTGCAATTTCTTTTTGAACAAATCATTTTAAGATAATCAGGTCAGTCTCGTTAGACGCCTTTTGATCAAGAGGAATGCACTTTGTCTTTCTTGCCCACTTTTTTGTGTAATCCTATTACAGTTTGTTTAATTCCCTTTGGTCTCCCAAACTTTTTACTGTAGGTGGTAAAACTATACTCTAGATCGATTCTATAGAGTTCATTGATAATATAACATTTTCGAGTTGATTATCAGCTCTCTCTGATTTGATTTCACCAACTACTTTGGCTATCCTTTGTGCTCATCACTTGTTCACTCAGATCTGCTACTATTTATTTCATACAGACCAAAAAAAAATCTGAATAAGACCGGCAAAATAGTAAATCCCTATATAAATTCTGAAGAGGCTATTTTGCTGGGGCTGGTAACAGTGCTGTCAAGTTTTCATGAAGCAAATGTGTGAGATTTGGCAAAAATTGTAAAGATCAAAGAGAAAAAACAGTAGATCAAAGGAAATAGCATTGAAGAGGCTTTTTAGCCGGATCCGGCAAAATAGCCACTACCAAATATAAATGTATTGAGAAGCACTTGCAATCATATGACGATGATTTTTCTAAAATTGAACCAAATAGACTGTTCTTAGCGAAACATTATTTCACAATTCCTCTTTTATAAATGTTTGAAACAAAAAAAAATCAGATTTTGAATTTGTTTCAACGTAGCTAATGCCCCTTAAAAATTTGAACAATGTAAAAAACTAAATTTTCATATTGACGTATTTTTTTTTCCACTGACAGATAAAAAAACATTACATTTATGTGTATCATCCAATACTTTAGATTCATTTTGAATCATTACAAATATATAAATGATAAAATAATATATGGAAAAAGGGTGTCCATTCCCCAGCGTCTCTCATTTGTATAGTCAACTGTGCTGCAGATGTCTTTAAAACACAAGTCTTATCTAGTTTCAGCAGAGACATATGAATGAAATTTTTAAAAAAAGGCAGGACAGGAGTTTTGAGTAAAAAAAAAGGCAGGATGAGCAACTTTGCAAAAGAAAAGGCAGGATGACAAGTTATGTAAAAGGCACTGGCTACGGTTACATGGAAATGTAACAATAACATAAAAATTATTGTTACATTGGAGACTAATTGCCGGAATGCAGGGTTGGGTAAGGAACCGATTAATTACGAATGTAACAATAATATTTGGGTCTACGCTTACATTGCGTTATTGTTACATTAAAGACTGCAATGTATGATAGATTTATTAAACTTAAACCTGCTATAGTTATGTTGCTTAATTCTTCGATATGTACTAGATAATATTAATAATGATAATATTATTCAGCGAATAAGTATTGATTGTTTTGGTGTTGTTAAAAATCATGACTACTACAGTTTAGTTCAATATGACTATTGATGAATACTTAATGAACTGTTCAATAGAGCATGTACTGTCACGACTGATAAGATCACAAAATATCTGGACTCTGAAGATGAAAACACTGTTTCCACCAATTTCAACCTGTCGGCAAATGTCAGCATTAATTGCTTTCACAATTGACTTGTATTTAAACAACCTAACATGCTTCCAAAAATATTTGACGAAAATGTAAACATCGCAAGAGTAACAAAATATTTTTCACCTGAAGCATGGCATTCAGACATTGAAAGTTTCTTAAACTTCATAAAGGGAAAATGCAGAATAGAATTGTACGGTATGCAATATAGAGCGCGCACATTGTCGTATCACTGGTTTGTGATGGCTACTTAGAATGGTTTCACCGAAAATGCGTCGGACTAAAACATGCTCCAAAAACAACATACTGGCTTTGTAGAAACTGTCATTGTAAATAAAAAATCAAAATATTGTATGCAATATTGTAAATATCAAATAAAAGTTTTCAAGTTTTATTTTAATACATATTTATTACTATTCCCATCGTACATTGCAGTGCGTTAATGTAACAATAACGCAATGTAACAGTAGACCCAAATATTATTGTGACATTCGTAATTAATCGGTTCCTTACCCAGTCCTGCATTCCTGCAATTAGTCTCCAATGTAACAATAATTTTTATATTATTGTTACATTTCCATGTAACCGTAGCCAGTGCCTATGTAAAAAAAGTCAGGATAAACTAATAGAAAAAAGGCAGGACTGAATAGAGTGAAAAATAAATAGGCAGGACAGAGATTACAACTAAAAAAAATGCAGGACAAAATTTTTCATCCTAGCCCCCCCCCCCCATAAAAATCAAATGGTAGCTCCCTAAATTTATTTCTGTTTTTTTGCTTTTGCTATATAGTCGGTATACTTCAAAGCTGGGACCATTATGTGGGTCTCATTGGGGTCTAAGTGTGACCCGGGATTGCCGATTTTTTTGTAAGCGTGACACGTGAAAGTCAAATTATTGTGCCGTGAAAACGGGAAATAAAGTCAAGCGGGACACGGGAAATTACAAAAAAATGAGAATTGCTTACGTACATAGTGTAAGCGGGATACGGGAATCTGACAAAACAGTAAGCGGGATCCAGGATCAGAACCCCCCAATGAGACCCCCCATTATACTAACTTATCTCCCATTTCAAAGGGAAAATGTTCATACCGTTTCACAAACAACAAATGCAAAAGTTATTGACAATAATTAAACTTTAAAATTAACTTTCAAGAAATAAAAGTAAGCTTTCAAAATAATAACCCCGGTAAATAATTATTAAAAGCGATTCATAAAATCTCATCGTCTGCTATTGTGTTTTGATATCGTCCCTATATTTAGTTACATCCAAACTAACCTTTGAGATTTTCATCTAAATATAAATATTCGAAACTTCTTTAGATTTATCCTTACATCAGTATCAAATTTCAAGATGGAAGAAGCAGACGTCAACATTTCTCTTAGAAGTTTGAAATATCTGTTTAAAGTGCACTGTATCATTATTATCCTCTCCCTCTTTGTTGCAAAAACAAATAGTACCAGTAAAGATGTTTCAGTAACATATGATCACATGTACACATCTGGTTTAAACGCATATGTTGGAGGAAAATGGTTTCAATGCTCAGCATTTCTTGAAAAAGCTATCCAGGAGAGAAAATCTTACAAAACTGTCATAGTTGATTGCAGACTTCATTGTCGCAGTGATTCAGTGCTATCAGATTTCTTCATTCCAGCAGATCTGAATACGTCTGTAGATGCTTTACGACTCAATTTCTTTGAAAATCTAGTTAAAGAATCACATTGTCTGAAAGCATGCAAAACAGAGAAGCTTGGATATCAAATGTCTGAAAATCGTGTGTTACTTGAAATAGAAGAGGATTTTGATAATCTCAAACCATATTCTTATCTTCAGTTTTGTTACTACAAGGTGAATCCATGAGTAATGCATTTAACTATCCAGTAATTATGATTTATAGTAATAAGAAGATGTGGTATGAGTGCCAATGAGACAACTCACCATCCAAGTCACAATGTGTAAAAAGTAAACCATTATAGGTTAAAGTATGGCCTTTAACACAGAGCATTGGCTCACACCGAACAGCAAGCTATAAAGGGCCCCAAAATGACTAGTCTAAAACAATTCAAACTGGAAAACCAACGGTCTAATCTATATAAAAAACAAGAAACGAGAAACACTTATGAACCTTAGTCTTCATGAAGAACTGTAGATGAACAACTGGTTTTGCTTTCTACTGCCCTCCCCCTTTTCACCCAATGTATTTGTTTACTCATTATTGATGGCTTCATTAAACTTAATAGGCTCTAAATTCAATATACTATAATATACTAGAGGGAGCAGAATAATTCCAGTTAGAGTATTAGGTTTTCACCAAAAAATGTTACTGGCCCTTACATATATATGTATCACATGTACATGTTTATTTTCACTGCATTGCTTATGCAAACAGGCTTGATGTTTACTATGAAGACTGTAATAATAAACATTCTGAAGACAAAATTCTAATTTATGTCTTTAGTGAATAATTCTAAGTTGTTTGCACAATTATAATTCCAATTTCATAGAAATGACTGGAACTGGAGGAAGCTGTCAAAATTGCATTCATATACAGTTATTAACACTTTTATTAGAACTTTATTTTCCCAAAAAGTTTATCATTTCACAACAGCAGCCTCTGTGCTATGTGTGTCAGATAGACAAGGACATTCCAGAATTGCTACTGATTAATTTATTCGTATAATTGGAGAAGTAAACAAAAATATGTTTCCCCATTAAGTATTAAAATATTCTATGTAATTGAAACAAGAAAATGTGTCCACATGACACCAGCCCCAGCTTGTACTATCAAATTTCCATGTTCAGTGAACAGTGAAATCTTAGTCTAAACTCTCAATTTGGCATACATTTTAAAAAGTTCAAGCAATTGCACTATTAGAAATTTTCATTTTGATGAGATCACACTTTATGATTACTAACTATAAACAGTTGGACGCCCAGACAGGAATGATAACATGTATGTCCCCCACTATTGTCGGCATAGCATCAAAAGTTTTTATCAAGGAATTTAACCATAAATGCATTTTATTTATCCAGTTGTTGATGGTTATCATTTGTTCTTTGGATAAATATTTTGAATAACTGGCCATGACATGATGATAAGGTTGTCTTGCATAACAGATAAAAAAATCTTGGGAATGACCTAGTTATCTGAATACCTTGGCTTGTACATGTTGTAGTTGCAGATACAAAATTTAAGATGAGGGGTGCACACTTAATCTGCAAGGGGTTTATGGGCTGCATCATCATGTAAAGGACAGCATTAAACTTAGGGGATAGCACCTCTTGAATCCACCCATACCTTGAGTTTTAACTGTTTAACCTACCATGTGTACAATTTTCATTTTTGTAATTAGAATAAAAAAAATAATCACCTGCAAGAAATATGATTTTTGTTACATTTTTCACAATTTTAGCATACACGTAAAAAGTCAACATTTGCAAACTATTCTTTAAAATCTACCCTTGAGAAGAATATGTTGATCAATTTATATTAACAGCATATACATTGTAGCTAATCATTACTAATTGTATAAATAAAATTCCTACTGTGCTGCTGCATTCATTTATTTTCATGGGTACCAATTTTCGTGGATATTTGAATTCATAGTTTTGCCAAAGTCTGCATACATGGCATTCAAGCCTATGGAAAATTTGTACTCCTTGGAACATTTAAATTTCACCTATACCCACGAAAATTGGTATCCCAAGAATGATATTGAATCCACAGTTTATTGAGACCTATCATTGTATGGGACAATCATGATACACGTCACGAACAGTCATAACAGCTGCAGAGAAAAATAACATATAGCCACATATCTATGTAATTTTTTCTGCTAGGGTAATTTATCAGAAATTTTGTTTAATAGATCTTGAAAAAAGAAATAACAAACACAAATTATGTTCATACAGGCATAAATTTCCATAAACTAAACTGTTATTCGGCTTTGTCAATTTGTTGTTCGAAAATTTCATTGAAATATTTGATTTGTGGTCGAGGAAAAGATTAACATTATTTAACAATAACATGTGTAATGAAATTCATTGACTTCTAGTTTAAGAGATAAATAATTCAAGAGACAACTGCATCAGTATATATATACATCAACAGCAGAAACTAAATTTATGAATTACATGTATAGTGTAGATGAAATTTGGAGTTGTCCAAGGCTTATCTAGTCATTTGGTCCAAAAGAAGTGAGAACTTGTCTGAACAGTTTTACATGGTGCATTTAGTTTTACTAATTTATTGTCGAATTTGCCTACAATCTTATTTTTTTGCATGAATAAATTAGTTTTATAAACAGTTAAAGTACACTTATAAAGAACAAGGGTATGAAGACAGTTACTATTGTTCTCTGTGTAGTTTATTCACTTGGACCTTTAAATTTTTCGAATAGAAATCCATCACTCATTGATTACTTTACCTGAATAAAAAAAACTATCTTCTAAGTAGATTGATTGATAGATTGGTGCTTAACTTCACTTTCAGCACTGTTGTGCTATTTCATGGCCGTCAGTTTTTATTGGTAGAGGAAGCCAGAGTGCCGGGAGAGAATCACTGACCTTCGGTAGAAAAACTGCCTTTCTTATACAATTAAAATTGGAGTTGAGTGCACCTGCCATATGTTGTATTCGAACTCAAAACCTCAGTGTTGACAGGCTAGTGATTTAGTAGTTTGACTACTTAGACCATTCAGCCAAAGAGGCCCCTCTCTTCTTAGTAAATGAAAATACATGTATCCACTCACAAAACTGCATGTGATGTTGTATTTATTCAATATCAATAATGTACAAATACTGATTCAAACATTAAAAGTTGATTTCTGACATCTTAGTTCATTTTTGTTTTTTTTGAGTGGCTGACAAATAAAAACTGGAAAATGACAATGTTTGAAATGAGGCTTTCTTAAATGTAAATCTATAACTAAACAAAAACACACAAAAAAAAAATGCAGATTTCAATAGGAGCAATGCTAAAAAAAATTGTCAGAAATCAACTTTTAATGATGTTTTTATTGAACAGATTGAAAATATGCAATTGATTTTGAATATTTACAACATCACAGTTTTGTGAGTTGATACATGTATTTTCATCTACTTTGAAGATAATTTTTCTATTCAGGTAAATAAATCAATGAGTGATGGATTTTTCTTAGAAGAAATTTAAAGGTCCCAGTTGAAAAACTACACAGAAAACAATAGATATTGTATTTATTCAATGGGACAAAAGAACTGACAAAAGTTTAAATACTTTAACCAAGAGGAGATGACTCTTTGGAAAAGTTTCATTTGGTTCGTAATAAAACTTTCCCGACAAGAAAAAAATAGATTGATAATAGCATTCACATATGTTTTGTGTCAACTGTACTGTATTTAATTGTAAAATGACTGCTGCAAAGAAATTTCTACATGTACTTTGTACAAACTGATCATTATAACAATTATCTACAGATTTCAGTTCAAAATATTAAATTTTGTCAATATTACAATAATTTCAGATACTTTAAACCTCTTCCAGAAAAGTCAATGTAAATTCTATCAGGTAGTATTAAGTAAGACACCTACATATATATGTATAATGGTGAAGGCACTCTAAATATTTTATAATCAATGTTTTTTATTCCAATTTTATCCAGACTTTTGTTCTTTAAATCTTTATTTCCATTTTGAAAGAGTATGCATGGTTGTGGTAGACTACTCCCACTCCTTACCAAATCTTTTCCTTGCAGTTTTATATAATTTATTCAAATAATTTTGTTTGACATATATATATAAGGAAGTATGTGGATTAAATCAATGAGACAGAAAACCAACAAGATATTAACATAAAAAAAGCGTCTAAAGATCATTCAACAGTCTACAGGTACAACTCTATATCGTCAGTTAAGTCAAAGTTTTCTAGGTCATGAAATCTCCAAAATTCTTTTGGATTATTTTTAATTATTAAATCTGAAGAAGGTTTGGAGGAATATTGCCTATTTCATTAGATACAGCAGTTCTCAGTATCTGAAAGCAATATTTTCATGAATAAAGTTCATAATGAGATTTTGTATAAAAAGTAAGTACGATGCTCCTTTTGGCGTGGCTCGGTACTTATACGTCCTGCCATTGTGTTATTGTGCTATGGTCATTTTTTGTATTCTTGTCTTTCTTTTTTGCTTATGTGCTCTGTCTTTATGCCATTTTGTTTTTCTTTGTTGATATATTTGTTTTTTTTTATAGTGATTAAGATTATTACACAATGTTGATTGCTGTACCCCTATTTTTGACATTTTTACCTATTTTGTCTGTTTGTTTTGTTCACACCTTGTTTTCAATATAATGGAATTTTATGCGACTGTCATACAAGTGAGAGGTTTAGCTAGCTATAAAACCAGGTTTAATCCACCATTTTCTACACAAGGAAATGCCTTTACCAAGTCAGGAATATGACAGTAGTTTTCCATTTGTTTGATGTGTTTGAGCTTTTGATTTTGTCATTTGATAAGGGACTTTCCGTTTTGAATTTTCATCAGAGTTCGGTATTTTTTTTTTATTTTACTTTTTAAATGAAGAAGTTTTACTTCCAACTCAACAGAAGTACAAACCTTCAAAATGTTTTAGCAATAACTTGCACTTCTATTGTAACATTTTGATTGTGCAGACTTCATTTGTTTCCACCAAATTGGGCAAAAACACATGAACTTATATGCTGAGAACAAAAAAATCATTGTTTCCTGTTTGAAGTTTATTACTATTACGTAAGTTGTAAAATATTTACCACTTGGTGAATGTTAGTTTTAAAGGTTCAGTACAAATTTTGTCTCCTTTTTGTTGATAGTATAGAAATTTTTATGAAAAACAACTTTTCAGGAATTGCCTGGGACAAAAAATAGCAAAGCAAATATATGATAAAGTAATAAATCTAAAATGACCTGTTGCCTATAATTGCTTACATTCACTTCATTTGAGCTTTGGTGGATAGTTGTCCCATTGGCAATCATACCATTTCTCCTTATTTTTATGCCCCTGCAGTAGCGGAGGGGGCATTAAGTTTTACCCTTGTCTGTCTGTACGTCCGTACATCCCAAAGTTGGTTTCCGTTCTCTAACTTTAGTTTGCCTCAACCAAATGATATGAAACTTATACACAATGCTTATTACCACAAAACACAGATCAATTTTGAATTTTGGTGCGTCACTTTAACCGTTCTAGAGTTATGTCCCTTTACATATGGAAAAATTGCTGAATTTTTCGTTTCCGTTCTCTAACTTAAGTTAGCTTCAAATAAATGTTATGAAACTTATACACAATGCTTATTATCACAAAATACAGATCAAGTTTGAATTTTGGGGGTGTCACTTTTACTGTTCTAGAGTTATGCCCCTTTACAATGGAAAAATTGCTGAATTTTTCGTTTCCGTTATCTTACTTAAGTTTGCCTCAACCAAATGTTATGAAACTTATACACAATACTTATTACCACAAAACTCAGATCAAGTACAAATTTTGGTAGCGTCACTTTTACCGTTCTTCAGTGATGTCCCTTTATAACTTTATATGATATAATTATGCAAGCAGGGGCATCATCTGTGTCATTTTCCTCATTTATTTTTGATGTAGTGAACTCCTTTAAAAACTAAGCTTAGTTTGTCTATTAATTATATTGTAAACTCCAATGTTTTACCATGGAAAAATAAATTACTGTAACTAACCCACAAACATTATTTTTACAATAAGGCACCACATTTCACATTTTTTAAGATTTAAAAAAATATTAATAAATGTCATGTTCATTTATCATATGTCAAAGCCACATGTTTCTCCAATGACATATGCTACATAAAAATATTCTAAAAAAGTTGTTAAAAGCATTATTGAGATTTTATGTAATGACTTTATTTGTTTAGTTGATATAAAATAAGAAGTTACTAATACAGTTCAATCCTATTATTGAAATTTACAACTGAGTTATTTTACATAAAATATATTGAGTAAAAAAATTACGATATTTCTATAATACTAAATATAGACACAGTTTCAGTCATTTGAAAAGTTGAAGTCAAATAAGCTATACCATGAATTTCTTAATGGGAATCAGGAGCTTTTTATGCTTTTGGATAAATCATTTGAAAACAGGAAAATTTGCTGCTTTGCATATTTTAATTTTCTTACTGACATTTTTTTTTATGAGCACAAATAGTCACAGTGATTTTCCAAAGCTGACATATGATCATTTTTACCTGTCAGGATTACAAGCTATTAGGTCTGAGAAATGGTTTCAGTGTATAGGATTTTTAGAGAAGGCTATCCAGGGCAGAAAACTATACAAGGAAACATTAATTGACTGTAGATTGAAGTGTAATGGAGACCAAATGATTGACGATCATTTTCTTCTCAAAACTGACAAAAGTTCGAATGATTCTTACAGTTTGTATAAAGGGAATTTTTTTGAAAGGATGATTCGAGAGTCACATTGCTTGAAAAAGTGCCAGGCACAGGAGTTAGGCATTGAAAATATAGTAAATTCTGAATTTGACAAAGAATTTGAAAGATTCGTACCATACATCTATCTTCAACAGTGTTATAAACAGGTACTAGTATATCTTCTTGGACATTTATTAAAGTAAGATTTTGATAAGTTATAATGTTGACCTAAGGTTACTAACTGTTACTTGCATATATATTTATACATTATAATGCTTAAAAGATAGATTAATTTATTAGTCTGATCCAAAAAATTTCCTATTTTCTATCTTTATTTCAATATGTTTTCAAGACATTTTATGTGTTAGGTGTTGGAAGGATAGATCTATCCTAAGCTTCTACAGTATCGCCACAGAAAGCTCCTGAGATGCACATACACCCTTGAATTAATTTTTTTTCAGTTTCATGTACAAATGTTGACTAGTAACATTTTATTTTCATGAAGTATTATTTATATATACGGGGCCTCGGTGGCCGAGTGGTCTAAGTAGTTACTACTGTAATCACTAGCCAGTCAACACTGAGGTTGTGAGTTCGAACCCCGCTTGTGCGGGTGCACTCGACTCCAATCTTAATTGACTAGGATTGTCAGTTTTCCTATCGAAGGTCGGCGGTTTTCTCTGGGCACTCCGGCTTCCTCCACCAATAAAAACTGGCCGCCACGAAATAGCCCAAAAGCGGTGCTTAAAAGTGGCGTTAAAACACCAAAAATCAAATCAAATCAATTTATATATACAGCATGTTAGACATTTTCGTAGTGCTTCCTTGTGGCAGTCCTAACATACCCAGGCAATTATTTAAAAAAAAAAACTGTTAATGAATTATAAGAGCCATTGTTTAATTCTGTAGGCATTTAAACTGGTTCTTACAAGTTTGATAAATTTTGATAAGCCTCAGGTTAGTGTAATTTTGCAGCAAATGTCCAATCGGAACATTGCAGTGACTTCATTTACCATTAAATTGTATCATTATAGAAACAGATTTTATACCTTTATTCTGTTGACAACAATGTTTCTCCATTTCCTATATGAACTATGTATGTCTTGATCAGTGAATAAATATCATAATCAACATGTTGCTCTGGTAGACTCTATATTTATTAGGCTGCTGAATTTCAAAAATATTAAAATTCTTTGGTTTAATAATTCAATAATTTAATCTTTTGATTAATAAATGGTATGATATATTCAGGTCAATTTAGTTCATACATGTCTTTTTCGAGTTACTGAGTTCATCATAAACATGTCATAACTGAGATTTGACTTTTCTAAAGGTGGAATGCACAAAACATTTTTTTTTCTTTCAGCTAAAAATGATTAAAAGTTGTTTAAAAGACTTTAATACAGAATATCGGCCTTAAAAGGTCAAAGAAAAATCCAGGACATCAGTAATTAGAAAAAAGACTACAGCAAAAAAAAAATAATGTTGTTTTAAAAAATGTTTTCATTTCCATAAAGACTCGGCGACTCTTTTCACAAAAAATCTTATGATTAAAATTGATTGTAAGTTATACTGAAATGTGTATGAGTTACAAGTAATTTTACTCTTAAGATTTTTTGTGAAAAGAGCCACAGGACTTCCATTAACAAGAAAAAAAATCAGAATAGAAGGGGAAAACATGAAACTATTCTATTTGTATGATTCTGATCTTTAATCAAACTGATGAAACAAAATACCAGCACAGTTCATGTTGCTCAGTCTTTAGTTTTCTATGTTGTGTTTTGTATACCGTACTGTTGTTTGTTTTTTGATCGTTTTACGTTTTTTTGCCATGGCATTGTCAGTTTGTTTTTTACTTATGGGTTTGAATATCCTTTAAGTGTCTTTTGCCTCTCTTTTTCAGGCACATTTCAAGTTTGTCCACTGCCATTTTCAATCTTATGTAAGAAAGACTATGAAAAAAGTCTTGTCAATCCGTGTTTAATCTGTTTTCAGTTAGAGAGATATACAGATGCAGCATGTGCAGCATATACCTATTTCCTGAGGAACCCAAATGATCAAGATACAGTTACAAACATCCAATCATACAGACACGACTATAGAGTTAAAGATGAGGACTTTAAGGATTTGGAAAAAAAACCTTATCAGGTATGTAAAAAAGTGACCTCAGGGACCTTCAAATTTTTTTTTTACATCTAATGGAACAAAAACAAGTATCAGTATGTCATGTATGTATGTACTATAAATTCAGAAATTATTGCGTGCATTTATATTGTGATTTTGGAATAATTATCACAAATGTGAAATTAATTATTGCGATTTCCGGAAAAGCTGAATACATTATATGTCTCAGATGTTAGAATGCGAGTTCTTATTATTGTGATACTCGCCCAGTCGCATTATTTGCCTTAATAAAAACCTCACAATAATTTCTGAATTTACAGTATCAAAAAGACCCTCATTGGTAGTCAAGGTCGTTAAAAAAAAAACCTTGTCGTATGTATCAAGTCATTTTCTTTAGTTCTTTGTAAGTGATAGTCCATTTTGTCATTACTTACTTAGCATCTTTCATTCTTAACATAGTTAGAATAGAGCATTATCAGATCCTTGTAAGCATGGACACAGGATCTGCATTTAAGTCAGATTGAACAAATTTATAATGGTAAAAAAATATTCATTACAAAGGAAATTGAAAATCTTTATTTGAAAATATTTCACTCCTCTGGAAAATAGGTTTTCATCCATTGCAAAAACAGGTAAGCAGTCTTAAGGCCAATAATAACAATTTGTGAAAAGGATAAAACATTGACACTGAAGAAGGCCATTTGATGAGATGAAATATTTGTCTATATGATTTTACATGAATAATGTATACATATATATTCAAAGTGATAATTTATTTGAATGTAACACTAGTGTCTGATAATAATGTCTCATAAGTTCATTCATTTATCATTATATCAATAAAAAGCAGAGACTTACAAATGTATATCAAACGGAAGAACTTACTGGACTTGATTGTAATCCCCCCTCCAAAGTTTTCTATTCTTAAATGCTTTTATAATTGGGTATAATATATTTTGAAGGGTTTGCCTTCTTCAAAGTAATGGGATTTAGTTTGAAAATGTAGAGATTTCAAAAGAACTTTTATGTAATAACGCAAATCTGCTTTTATAATCTATGGTTTTGAAGTTTTTTTAGCACATTAGGTACCAGTCTTATATTACAACTCCAGTTTCCGGTGCATGTCTTAATATTAAGTGAAAAATAGTCCATTTTTTTTCTAGACTCAATGTTTTCAGTTTGATTAAAAATTTTTGCTGAATTGAAACATCTATTTGAATGTAAAAAAAAAATGAATATTTTCGGGACATCAAACCAGGTAAGTGGAAGGATATCATGTTTACTGGAAGTGGTGGACAAGTAAAAACTGCAAAAAGAAAGTAGAAAAAAGTAGTTTTGACTTCAAGGTTTCATGAATTTTTATTCTTCGTGGCATGATACACTTTTTTGGAGGGGGGATCACAATTTCACATTACATGTACTACATACAAGATATGTGCATGGAAAAAATTATCTATGTTGCATTTTATTCAATTTTAAACGATCCGCAGTTTCACATGTAAGCCTATGGATCAGACAATTTTAAGACTGCAACCATTGTTATAAATAGAAATTAATACTCCTGTATAATTTTAATGATTGTGGGGGACAAGTTTACCAGATTTTCTCTTTCAGTTGTTCACGTAACATAATCAACTTATCTGGTACATTTAAAATTGTCAAAAGGATATAATAAATTTACATTTAAAACACATGTTAAGGAATAAGGATTATAGATTTTATAATCCAAACTCAGTATATTATAATCATATTAGCATCACATAAGTATAATCATGTTCAGTCTCTAACTTTATGAATTCAGTGTCATCTGCAGTCTGTAAAATAAGTCGCCACATTATCAATTATGAAGATACCTTAAATATTTATTATACCCCACGCTTCAAAGAAGCAGGAAATATAGTTTTTTACCCATTAGTCTGTCAGTCTGTTAGCCATCTTGTTTTCTTCATGCTATATCAAAAACTAATCAAAAACTAGGATATTTGGTCACATATAATGTGATTACAGGGTCGCTACGTCTAATGTCAAGGTCACTGTACTATAAATAAACTAATTTATGCTGGAAAGTGTTTTCAAATACTTTTTATATATGATTACACCCTTACTTGTTTATGTGGTAACATACAATAAGTGGATAGAGCCCTATTGATTTTGTGGTCACTAAATTTTAGGTCAAGTTCATAGTTACTAACAATAGACAAAAAATGTTTTCTTGAAAGGAGTTTCAGGATTGTAAAACTATATTCTTGTCACAAGTATAAGGCTTTCATTTTTGTTAGACATAATAAAATAATTAAAAAGTAGACAGAAAAGACCATGCCAGCAGGTCAGTTAGACTGGGTTTTTAGACGGCGGCTTTCCAGTTGGAAATTGCGCCCTATATTTACCTAATTTTACAGAAGAAAAAAGTACTTAATGTTTTTGTTTTTGAACTTCAGTTGTGAGTTTAATAATAAATAACATTTTGTGTTGCTTATTTGTGTTTATTTTTATTGTTATCAGATACAGCTATTGGATTTCTTAAATATGAATGTAACTTAAGTTAGATCAGTTAGTGGTCCAGTGGGAGTCGTGTATACGCACTATCCCACGGAAGATACAAACCATGATAGTGTAGGTTAATTGCACCCTGGACCCAGACATGAACATGTTCTCTGACTGGTGATCAGTCAGACAGAAAACATACCCCTGTCTAACTCCCGAAATGCAAAAACTGTTTCATGATATACCTCCTGAAAATTCCAAATTGTATAAAGACAATAAATGAATAAATGTAAATAAATATATTAAACTATTAACTTATTGATATTATAAAATAGGGGACATCCTACTACTAAATTAATTTACAAGGATTCCAATACGAATTGTACATGCTTGTCCATTCAGTACAATCGATGTACTTTGTGCTGACATCACTGTTTAACAAGCTACGTACACGACAAACTGGTTAAACTTTAAAATAATTTAATACCCTGTATATCATGACTACCATGTCAGGGGGCGACCACTAGTTGGCACCGCTAATCTACATGTCTATATGTAGTGTGAACGACTTATTATGAATAAGTTTAATAATTGAATATGCAAAAAAGATGTTATAGCTTAAGCAACAAATTTGAAAACTTTAAATAGTGGAATTACAAATTGTTCTATAGTTATATGTAAAAGATGAATGCTTAACCTTAGGCAAATGGAAAAGTTGAATATAACGTTATAGTAAGTTGAATTTGTTTAATGTTGTTTGTATAATGTCTAGTGGTGACTATTTCATCCATATCTTAGGCAAAGAGTTTTTGTGATGTTTGCCTTGGTAAGCTTGAAATTGTGTAAAGGCAGCTAATATGATATATTGATGCAGGAGGATATTAAATGATAAACAGACTTTATACCATAAACTGTAAATGTATTGTAGGATTACAGAATAAAAGGAGAGAATGCTTATGACCAGGATGATTGGACTTACGCAATAGAATTGATTGAGCTTGCTATTACAGAATACTACAAAGAAGAAGAGAGGTGCCGAGTAGAATGTGAAGGACACTTTGACCACCAGTCCTTCCCAGACTTTATTCAGGCAATAGCTGGTAAGCTTAAATGTTGGAATTGTAAAATTCATGACTATGACCAAGGATTTATAAGTCCACTAAAGCTGAATTTTTATCTGTTTGATGTCTGAACAATATTGTATGCATATATTATCTCTGCTTTTCAACAAAGTTTGTAGGACAGTTTTTCATCAGAGATCAAGATTGAGGATAATGGTTATATCCAAGCTTCTGGTTAACCTCTGTTAGCCTGTGCATAGTTTCCATGAAATGATTTGTTGCAGCATATTGTTATTGCATTTTCCTCTTTCGATCTACATGTCTGTAGACAATTTGTTTTGAAAATTTTTTCTGTTTGATTTTATGTTCCGTAAAATTGATTAAAATTGGTCTTCAAAATTACAATGTTCAAAAAAATCATTCTGTTGGAGGTTTTGAAGTTGTTATATATTTGCATCTTAAGATCTAAAATATGGAGTGATATAAAGAATTAAAAAATAAATGGTCAAATTTGATGTTGAAAATTTTCAACAACATAGAAAAACAAGCATTTGTGAGAGATATCCAAATGTTCTCAATTATCCTGTATCCAAACCTTTTCCATAACAAGCATACCAGGCATACTTTATTTTACAGACGAACTTAAATCAAGCAATTCTGAAAAAAATCAAATACAGTTTAAAAATACCCCATAATAGACGAAAATAGTTAGTTTCGAATTATGTTTGTCTTTTCAATTAAAAGAAAAATGTTTGTACAAGAAAAAAATCATTTTTTATCTGCATTAAATTTTCAGTCAGTCAACTTTCTACCTTTTATAAAATTTGTAAAAATATTTTATAAATATCAAATACAGTTTCTGTGATTTTATTATATGCAAATTCAGCACAGGCACTTGTCTCTGAAAAATATTACCTATATACATTAATATAAATATAATTGTTATATTAAAGTGTATAGGTAATTTTTTTCAGAGACAAGGCCTTTGAAATTCAGTTAAAAGGAATAGTCAAAATATAAATTTCTATAATCTTTTATTGTTTGAATTAATGTCTGTTGACAGCTTTCTAAAGGCTTTTGATTGTACATCAATATATATGTTTGACACAGTAATAATGCCATAGTAATAGATTTTTGACAATGTGTAAAACATCAAAAGGGAAACTTGTAACATTGTTTTCAGCAAATTGTTTGTAACAGGTGAGATACAATGGTATATTTCTTCTACCATTAAAACAGTGGTGGATATTCCTATCTAGAACATGTGCTTAAATACACAACAGTGTACACCTACTGTAGTTTTTTTACAAGTATTAAGGGTACCTACTACAAAGCTGGGGATGTTCAGTATAACCTAAACATAAAATGTTACTGTGAATTTCAACTACTATAACTAGTTTAAATACTGAAATAAATACCTGGAATGAAAAAAAAAGATTTTGGAAAAGATTTTATAACACTGACTCTTTGTAACCCATTAACAATATTTCATGGCCATAGTATTTTGATCCCCTTACCAAAGAAAGTTTACCCTACCTTATTTCTCAGAATTTCAATTTATGATAGCATTTAAACTACATTTGTTCTTTTACTAGTTATAATGCTGCAGTTAGCATCTAGAATAAAAAAAACAACTGTTGGAATAGACACCTTCATATAAGTTGTTAGTCCTGACTCCCAATTCATGGAAAATTGAACTCCCCCCCCCCCCTCCCCCTTTCTATAGATGTCAGAATTTCAAATCATCATAGTTATTTAAACTATTTTATCAAGTTAGAATGGTCCAGTAAGTATCTGAACTTAAAAAAAATATGCTTGAAAAGATACATTTACACTTTTCCTAAACCATGACATTTTGCCCTGTACCCCTATCCAAGAAAAATTGGAACCACTTTAGATGTCAGAATTTTAAATCATCATACTTATTTATTCTTAATGCTACTTTATCCAGTTATAATGCTCGAAAATAGGCATGTTGAATCATAAAAATATGTTGAAAAAGATATCATAACATTTGCTTAGCCAAAAGATTTTACCATGGGAAATTGACACTCCCTCTAATAGTAAGAACTTCAAATGATCATGGATATTGAAACTACCTTATCAAGTAATGTTATTTTATCTTAGTTATTGTTTTTTTACTATGACCATGGAAAATTGACTCCCCCCACAAAAAATAATGTTTAAATTTTAGATTAGTATTTAAACAACACTAATGACTATTTAGTTATTATTATAATGCTTCAATTAGTGTCTGGAATCAGAAACTTAAGATCTGAAAACACTAATCTTAGCCATAATAATTTGACTTTTGTCTTTTAAAATTGAGCCTCTTGTTGGCTGTAAGAAACCTTTTTTTTTAGGCTTTGGGTATTTTTACCCCATATTATTGAATAAGGACCTCCAAAGCAAAAAGAATTGTCCCTGGGTCAAATTTAAGTTTGGTCAAATTACCATGTTAATGGTATACCTACTTCACCGAACTGCAAAAAAGAAAGCTAGAATTATGAAAATGGTAAAAAGACTCTAGGCACTCGTACTACATCTTCTTATTTATATCTATGGTATGAACATCCTTTAGAAAGAGAAATTTACCACTGTGGAGGTTTCTAAAGTAGATTGCTATGCCAACTCTATATTAAGAAATAAACCTGGAAATTTAAAAAAATAAGGGGCTACTAGACCTGTAAACAATATTTTAGAAAGCTAGATCACATATTGAAGGAACTATTAGCCTTTACTAATATCCAACATCCTTGTTCTGGATTACGTGATATTATTGAATAGAGTACTGAAGCTGCATAACATGATTTATTAGTACAGACGTTCTTGGTTTTTTTTATCATGTTAATTGGATCATTTAACTTGCAACAGTTTGTAGAATTAATGAACTTCAAATTTTATGACGTATTTTAAAAGCAAAAAGTAATACTATGGAATCATTATTATTTGGGATAAACCAATGTTTGATTGTTTTTCATAGGTATAGGTAAACTAGATTTAAATGTTCAATTTTCTATAGGCTTGAAGGCAGACATTGACAAAACCATGGTTTCAAATAAGCACAGAAAATGTCATTTTCCTCAATCCATGGAAATTGGTATCCATGAAAATATATGATTCCACAGTAAATGAAAAATAACATAACAAATAGTATGGAACACCTGTAACTTTGTGCTAGTATAATGTTCGTATTTAAGGTAATTACATGAATTAGATGTGTCCATTTTAAAGGCTTATTAGGGCTTATGTTGTAGTGTTTAATTTATTTCGACTTACTAAGTACAATTTGCTATGGAATGATTACCCTTCCTTTGATTTAATCGTCATTTGCAGTTCTCATTTCATTTTAATACCTGTCATTGAATTGTGCAGATTTTCTTAAATCTACTTTATATTGCCAGATTTTGTAAACAAATCTTTTGAATGAAGGAATGCTAAGCATAACTCATATGTAATAGAGAAATGTGATGCATAATACATAGAAAATAAGCTGACCGCAGGATAATTTCAATATTACATATTAGAGAAAAACATACAATGAGCATTTCAATATACATTATACATAAGAAATGACATAAGAAATGACATAAGACTATATATACATTATACTTAAGTCAAGTCATCAAGGTGCAAGGTGATAAAATAAAGCATACTACACTCCTATAAGACTTTAATTCCACTTAATTGCTTTTATGAAAATGTTCCAAAATATTTTTGTACATATCTTTATTGTAAAGAGTCATTCAAAAGGTGAGAGGTAGTAATTTTTAAATGGCTAAAAAAAGAGGTTTTGAATTCTTTCTTCTAAAATGGTATTCTTGCAAATTTTACAGAAATCTTTAGTTGACTCTTTATATGAGTTATTGCTCTTAAACAACATTTTTTTATCCTGTTTTGTGCATAAACTAAAGAAGATAGGGCTGCAATTGAAAACATCTTTGTTTCCCCACACCCCTAATTTTTGCTGGTGGGTAGGTAGGTAGGATTTTTTTTTTTTTTTTGAAAATGTATTTGTCAGACATGTAGTAAACATAATGTGTGAAAAATTTGAAATTACACTCAAGGTACTCCTTTTTTGTGTTGATGCTATTCATCAAGCTTTGTGTTCACCTTTACTGTGAATTGTACCCTGTTAGGCTGTTATTGATAAGCAGCTTCGTACATTTTGATAACTACTGTATTGTATACAAAACATTCTTATTTCTGACGGTATAATTGTGTCGTTTTTGTGTAACAGTAACATGTTGATATTCTTTATACACAATTTAAAAAATAAATTTTCACAGCTTTAATTCAATAGCTAAAACAACTTAACATTTAAACTCTATTGTTTAAGTATAACAAAAGTAAAACATAACATGATTTAATAGTATTAGGCCTTAATTAATAGACTCGAATGCAATTGACTTTTTTTAAAGATTGCTGTATGACTAGCACTAACTGAGTACTGAAAAATGACTAGAATGCTTTTTTACTTAATTTTCTTGATAATGTAATAAATTCTGGAAAGTTATTTAACACTTGAATAATTTCAGTTTATATTAAAATGTTTAAATAAATATACATGTATTAAATACCTGGAACTAGATCAGGACACTCCAATTCAAAGTAAACCCCTCAACTACTTAATAGATGAAATGTTATAGTTTTATTCAAAGACGTTAAATGAACAACAGCTCAACACTTTGTCGCTAACTTGCACCAAAACCTTGTCAGTGAAAGCCTGCTGTCACCCGTGTCAGTGACATCTTCAAATACTTGATAACAAATTCATTGTTTTCCAAATGTATACAATCTGTTGTTTACTAAAGTTTTTATTTTTCCTGTGTGTGGATATTTTATCCTTACACACGAAGAGAGGGTAATTTTGTCTGCCATTGACACAGATCAATGGGAACTACGCAGCCTTTTTTCAATTTTTGTGTAGCTGAAATGTCTGAGTAGTTCCAATTGGACGCAGACACACAATAAATAAGAAATTGAATCCTGATCGTTATTTCCAGAGTTGGTCAGACGAAAAAAAATAAATTAAGAAA